TTACTTACTTACTTACTTACTTACTTACTTACTTACTTACTCACTTATGCACTTACTTACTTACTTACTTAAGCACTTACTTACTTACTTACTTACGCCTGTTACCCCAAATGGAGCAAATGCCGTCCATCAGTTTTCTTCAACCAACTCTGTCATGGGCTTCCCTTTCCAGTTCTGTCCAATTTTTGTTGATAACCTAGGTTCTTAGCTAGTTGAAACTTGTTATCGCAATGGTCCTGTAATTTCCTATACATGTAAAACACAATTTCCCCAATAAAACAACGTCATATTTAACACATCGAACAATTTAAGCTATTAACATCTTTATAACAGGCGACGATTGAGATTGAAAAGAAAAAGATTTTTTCTCCACCAATTCAAACAGTTCAATTGTTCGTGTAAATTGTTCAACGTATACTGAAAGTGTTTTTTTTGAGATATAAATCCTTATTAACTAATCAACTGACAGTAATTATTTACTAATAATCAAGTAATTTTGTTTAAATTATACCTTTTTTATTTTCAAATCGTTTATTTTAACATCATAAATAATTCAATTTAAAAATTACCGGTTAAAATGAGTAAGTAAAACAACATTGAACATTAAATCCTCTGATGATTACACTTTAGTTTGTTTATTTTTCTAAAATGATAGTGAAAAAAAGAAAGTTAAAATTTATATAATTTATCGGTATACACTGAAGGAAGACTTCAAAAAGATATTAAAATGCGGATGTACTTACTGTAAGAAAAAATTACTTATTTCTAGAGAGCGGAATGTTCTCCCATGTTTTTAAGGTATTTTGTTTGACCTACAGAGTAGAATTCATATTTTTCAAATTCAAATGATCTGTTTACTGTTAAATAGATAGAGATGTTTGTTTATTCAAAATTCAATTTACAATAATCTTTTTTCCCTATTCTTAATCATAAGCATAAAAAGAATAAGAATACCTTAAGGGTATCTCATTAATAATAAAACAAAGAGAATTTTGTATTGAACACTTGAAACATTGATCAAAACACGATATCAATTATTCATGTCACTAATCATTCAATTGACAAGATTTTTTTATTATTTATTTACCACTTTGTCAGATTTATGGAAATGAATATATTTTTGTCATAATGAGTATAGCAATATATGTGTATGTTTAAATCATGAATGAATCGTTGTTGTTAGATCACCATTAGAAGAAACCTGAAAGCACTTAAAAGACGGCCGTTTCTTCATAGTACAAGGACTCATCAGTGGCAGTGCACATGCATGACTGGTGCTACACACAAGATTCGGACCTAGGACCTTCGGTCTTGCTCGCGAACGCCTAAACTCTGGTTCACTGAACCGGCAGCATCCACTGGTGTGAATGTCTAACTCCGATCAATCTGACGATTTCGTGTAACCTCATCCACTACCTTAAGTAGGTAGCTGCCTACACCCGATAGAGTTGAACTCCAATGGTCACGTCTTCTCATTAGAACTCCATGAATTAACAATGTGATTCATTCATCATTTCAATGTGTAAAAGCAACTATATCTCCATAATTCTATAATGTATGTGTGTATTAAAAGGAAAGTGAACAAATATTCATTACCACATTTTATACAAAGTTTTTTTAATATTCACAAATTAAAACTGGTTATCAGATGGAAATAGCTTAATTTCTAGTGAGAATTATTCGTTCCAGTCAATCAAACCTTGACTGAAGCTGCTACCTTGATGTGGTGGTCGGGCTTACCGATCGTGATGACCCAACTGAGCTATACTGGCTGGAACATATGTTCCTGAAGGTTCGACCATGCCAGGCAGGTCGATTAGAGAACGATGAGAGTAAAAGCAGATACTGAAGGTCTGAGGGCGAAGTCGTACTACTGACTGAAGAGAGGTGTAAAAGCAGTAAGGTGTTTCACTCGGACAACCAGCCTCTGCAGCGATGCTGCCTTCTCACAAAGAAAGAAGGGTTAGTAAAGGTCGACCTTAACAATGTCACACCTCACCCTACCTCACGGATTTCCGTCTCGTTGGGTAAGGGTGCCCACTAAGGGCCTTTAAGAACGGACCTAATCCTCTAAATACCTTACATAAAAAGGCTGTGCGTGACCGGCCTCAAGCAGTTGTCCCTTGGGCTCTGCGGTCACGCACCAACACTAATCTATCTTCCTTTTCAGGTCCCTCAAGAAACAACCTTCCACGGTGTGGGCAGCCGGGAATTGACATCCGCCCTCATACCCGTACCAACCAGCACACGAGAGACCGAATTGGTCAAAATCAAATCCTTCCTATACCCGTTCCAATCAAATTTCAAATATTCATTGAGACAAGTCTACTGATTACTTTTAATATTATTATTATTATTATTATGATTAGTATCACTAATGAATTAATTCACAAACCATTGACTCAATTAAAACATTGTGCATTTCAATTTTCAATTTCTCAATACCATATTGTTTTAATTCATCAAATGCTTTTTTATTTTTGCCTTTTTTCTTCTCTAGGTCATCATCATCATTCTTGTTGTTTTTTTCAATTCTACTTATTATTAGTCCTAAACATCTGGTCTATTCACGTCATATTGATAATATACTATTACGAAGTGTATTAAACTGTTATTATGAATGTTCACAAATTCCCGCCAATGAAGCACAAGATCATCTGAATAATTTTTGTTTTAATGAATGTTTCAATCCACCGCTAGAAAAACGCGGCAAATTTTTCATGTTAGGATAATAATAATGTAGTGAAGAAAAATGTGAGAGAGAGAGGAAACTCAGAAAAACAAATTTGGCATTTATCTACTTATTATTGTAATTCAGTAATATATTTACTTATTTATTTATAAATAAATAAAACAGAAGAAATACAATTGGATAAGTGAAAAAGAAAGCAGAATTATGAAAATAAACTTCATTGAATTCATTTAAATTGTATTCACGTACTGATCGAATTGTTTAAACGTTGTTACATAATCAGTAGTACATGGTGGAGCGGGGGGCGGTAGTTTCGATAAACTATGTGAGACACTGTGACATCAATTAATTATTAGATCACCTTTAGTCGAAATTTATCAACTAAAATAAACTTAATCAAAATCATGAATTGATCAGTGTTGGTAGACCAATATTATAAACTTTGAAGTGCTGGTTAACTGTTCCGTCCTAGTGAGGGAATCGAACCCTGAAGTTTCGGTCTAGAGCACGGATGTTCAACCTCTAAGAACCACCATTCCAGTGTGCAATGTTGTTAATGCCTAATTTTAATGCATCTACGATAATGCGCTACTTCATCTATTGTCCTAGGTGGGTAAATGCCTCCTAACCGACACAGAATGAACTCCGCTAGTTGTGGTTTGTCGTATGTTGTATTCAACACCTGAGTTCTATCAGTAATAAATTATCATATTTTCGACTTCATCCAGTCTGCAGGTAATCATTTCATATAAAAGTTCTGAAAGAAATTATTTCGAAGTTAATTGCTAGTGAAATACTATTAGTATTTTGGCAAATAGGGTTTCGTTGAGAATTCATCTAATCATGTTTAAAACATAGTACTTAGTTACTTACTTGCCTAATTACTTAATTACTTACTTACTTACTTATGCACTTATGCAGTTACTTACTTATTTACTTACTTATTTATGCTCTTATGCACTTTCTTACTGACTTACTTATGCACTTACTTACTTACTTACTTACTTACTTACTTACTTACTTACTTAATTACTTACCTACTTACTTAATTACTTACTTACTTACTTACTTACTTACTTACTTACTTACTTACTTATATACTTACTTACTTACTTAATTATGCACTTACTTACTTACTTACTTACTTACTTAATTACAAACTTACTTACTTACTTACTTACTTACTTACTTACTTACTTACTTACTAACTTACTTACTCACTTTCATCTTTTAATCCTCATGAAGCATAGGCCGACGATCAGCATTATCCAACTAACAGTTTACTGAATCTTCTTTTCCAGCTCTACCGATATCGTTGAAAAATAACATAACTTAGTATTCTATTTGAAGTATGTAATTCATTTACCAAGTTATCGTCGTACATAATAACTGTTCGTTATATATATATATATATATATATATATATATATATATATATATATATATATGCATGGACAGGAAAACACTGTGGCGGCTTCTTCGACACTACCGTGTGCCTGAGAATATAGTCAGCATCATACGGAATTCTTATGATGGATTCAAATGCAAAATCGTACACGAAGGACAGCTAACAGACTCTTTGGAGGTGAAGACCGGTACAGGCAAGGTTGCTTACTCTCGCCCATTCCCTTTCTCCTGATAATTGAGTGGATTATGAAGACGTCAACATCTGGAGGGAAGCACGGTATTCAGTGGACAGCTAGGATGCAGCTGGACGATCTAGACTTCGCAGATAACCTGGCTCTTCTATCGCACACGCAACAACAAATGCAAGAGAACACGACCAGTGTAGCAGCAGCCTCTGCAGCAGCAATAGGTCTCAACATACATGAAGGAAAAAGCGAAATTCTCCGATGCAACACAACATGCACCAACCAAATCACTCTTGATGGAGATGCCTTAGGGGACGTTAACACCTTTACATATGTGGGCAGCATCATCGACGAGAAAGGTGGATCCGATGCAGATGTGAGGACGCGGATCAGTAAAGCAAGGGCTGCATTTCTACAGTTGAAAAATATCTGCAACTCCAAACAACATTCAACCAAAACCAAAATCAGCATTTTCAATACAAATGTCAAGACATTTCTACTGTATGAAGCGGAAACCTGGAGAACTACGGAAGCCATCATCCAGAATATACAAGTGTTTATTAACAGTTGTCTACGCAAAATACTTTGTATTCGTTGGCCAGACACCATCAGCAACAACCTACTGTGGAAGAGAACAAACGAGATTCGAGTGGAGGAGGAAATCATGAAGAAGCACTGGAAGTGGATAGGACAAACACTCTGAAAAGCACCTAACTGTATCACAAGACAATCCTTCACTTGGAACCCCCAAGATGAAATGAAAAGAGTAAGGCCAAGGAACATAATACGCCGAGAAATAGAGAAAGATATGAGAGGAATGAACAAAAACTGGAAAGAACTAGAAAAGGAAGCCCAGGACTGAGTTGGTTGCAGAAATCTAGTCGGCGTCATACGCTCTTTTTGGGGAGTAACAGGCTTAAGTCAGTAAGTAAGTAATGAAATGTTTCGTTTTTCATAAGGTGCGAATTTCTTCAACATTTAATAAGGAATCTGTCTAAGAATACAGACTTTTGATTCGATCAACTCTTATTGCCTTTTCGTCGTGTCATAAATTTTTCTAGATAAGATAATGTAAAGTTTTTTATACCTTTTTATACCTTTTGTACATCGATTCTACTGTATTGACGTTTTGTTCTACCAGAAGATAAACTAAGCAAAAGAATGTAGATAGAGTAGATGGTTAGTTCTTCAAATAGAGTTATGAAGATCATTCAGACACATTGAGGACAACACGTAATTGCATCACAAGACAAGCTCTTACTTGGAATCCTGAAGGTCAAAGGAAAAGACAAAAAGACCACAGAACACGGTACGCCGAGAATCGAAGGTGAAACGTCAAACTGCTTCATCACAATCAGGTAAAACTAGAAAAAATGATCCAGGACAGAGTCTGTTGAAGTATGCCTGTAGGCAGCCTATACTCCATTAGAGGTAACAGACATGAAATAACAAAAACAATGGAATGAATTTCAACAAAACTTCATGTCACAACTAAACAAAATTTAATTCAAGGAAATATCTTTCTTTTTTTCTTTAAAACAAATATTTAAGGTTAATTATTGTTTATCTACGGTATTGTTCACACTGAAATCAAAAGTTTACATCTTGGGAGTATCGTTTTAAATAGTACAAATTATCATCGCTTATTATTATTTATTCGATAAAGGAAAAAAAACAGCAGTTCAGCCTAGTCAATGATTATTGATGATTAGAAAAAGGTTTGTAATATTTTGAAAAAAGAAATATCATTTGTTATGTTTGCTACTAGGGATGACTTACTTGCTAACGCCAGTTCCCCCCAAAAGAGCATATGACGCCGACTAGTTTTCTCCAACCAATTCTGTCCAGGACTTCTCTCTCCAGTTTTGTCATATCTTTCTCTATTTCTCGGCGTGATGTGTTCCTTAGCCTTCCTCTTTTCCTTTTGCCTTGAGGGTTCCATGTAAGGGATTATCTAGTGACGCAGTTAGGTGCTTTTCGTAGTGTGTGTCCTATCCACTTCCAGTGCTTCTTCATGATTTCCTCCTCCACTCCAATCTGGTTTGTTCTCTCCCACAGTAACTTGTTGCTGATGTTATCTGGCCAACAAATACAAAGTATTTTGCGTAGACAACTGTTAATAAACACTTGTATATTCTCGATGATGGTTTTGGTAGTTCTCCAGGTTTCCGCTTCATACAGTAGAAATGTCTTGACATTTGTATTGAAAATGCTGATTTTGGTTTTGGTTGAATGTTGTTTGGAGTTGCAGATATTTTTCAACTGTAGATTTGCAGCCCTTGCTTTACTGATCCGCGTCCTCACATCTGCATCGGATCCACCTTTCTCGTCGATGATGCTGCCCACATATGTAAAGGTGTTAACGTCCCCTAAGGCATCTCCATCAAGAGTGATTTGGTTGGTGCATGTTGTGTTGCATCGGAGAATTTCGCTTTTTCCTTCATGTATGTTGAGACCTATTGCTGCTGCAGAGGCTGCTGCTACACTGGTCGTGTTCTCTTGCATTTGTTGTTGCGTGTGCGATAGAAGAGCCAGGTTATCTGCGAAGTCTAGATCGTCCAGCTGCGTCCTAGCTATCTACTGAAAATCGTGCTTCTCTCCAGATGTTGACGTCTTCATAACGGTGTCGATGACCAGGATAAAGAGAAGGGGTAAGAGTAAATCTTTACTAAAATATGTTAAAATGTACAGCGAAAACACATTTAGAATTTTTCGTACACAGTGAAAATATCATCACATTTGACCAATCTGTAATTAGCGTTGTTACATCATCAGTCAGTCAATTTATGTCAGATCGATTGGACAGAAACACTTCAGCTTCTTGGGAACCTCTGGAAGCAACTGAGAGCCATTTTAACATTGTCAACCGGAATAAATTAAATTTTATGGAGGAGAGTTATAGTTTCAGTGAATGTTTTCGACTGTTGTGTTCTCTTAGTGGAATAATGTTATGGAGAAGTTTTTTATCTGTAAATCTCAAAAAACTCATAAGCAGCTAATACAATGTGAAATTCAGTTGTCCCGTAATTCTACGAACAATAATCATTCTATTCTGATGATCTTGTGCATGAATCACAGTTTCCTGAGTTTTCCGTGTCTGCTTTGTTCATCAGTTAAGTAGTTTTCATTATTTTTCCAAAGATTTCATCAACTACCAACCCAGAAAAATCGATAAATCTTCCATGATATGCGGAATGGTCGGTGAGGTTACCGAATTCAAAGTTGACATTTTAAACAGTCATAATTTTACGATTATAGGATTTTTGTTTTTCGTTGAGATGGTGAAACAATCTCAGCTAGACAACTGGTGAAATTTTGAAAGTACTGGACGCCCGCTTGATTCTAGTATGAGACTCCTTACCATTGCATATCCATGATAGAACACATGACTTTCGATCTCATGTATTAACACTTAATCTCTAGACTATTTCACTTGTATTATGAATAGCCAATCACAGACAGACTCGAAGAGAGATGTTATTTGATGTAGGAGCAGGCTGGGAAAAAGCCAAGAGGCAGCCAAACCAATACATAGCACAAATCCATGAAGTCAATGACAAGTGAACTGAGCAACGTAAGTAGGTGTAGACTGCTAGATTGGGGTCTGCGAGTCATTTGTCCCCGATGGTTAGAGATCTTGAAT